TCTGCGTGAGACTTGGCTTCTTTCTGCGAGTTCTCCTCGCGCGCTACGGTAGTGGTGCCTTCTGCAAAGGCAGTACGTTCGAGCATCACGCTGTGTGCCTTAGTTTCGTCGAACTCAGTGGCGGCGCCCGTGGCGTCTTGCACTTTGTGCTCGGCTTTGGCGTGCTTGGAAACGGCTTCTTCGGCGATGTCGTAGACGGTGCTGTGACTGCCTTGCCCTTCTTGGCTGTGTTGCGCTGTCTTGCTCACATCTTTCTGCTGTGCGACCGTGTGCGTGTGAGACGGTGCCTCGGCTTCTGTTGAAGTATTGCGGTCTCTGATAGAGCTTTTGCGGACGGGCTCGCTTATCACGTGGTCAGATGCCGTTCCGACGGCGGGGGTGCCGGCGCTGCTCGTTTCAGCAGACTGCGTGCTTTTTTCGAGCGACTTGTGCTCGGTTCCGACTTTCTCAGTCATGGCTTTCTCAGTCGTGACTTTCTCAGTCGTGACTTTCTCAGTAGTAGCTTTATCAGTTGTGGCTTTCTCTGTCGTGGCTTGCTGAGTAGTAGCTCTCTCGGTAATGGTTTGCTCGGTAGTAGCCTTCTCGGTAGTGGCGTTTTCTGTCGTGACTTTATCCGTTGCGGTTTTTTCGGTCACCGTCGTAGCCTTCGTCTCCTTTGCAGATGCGGCGCTGGACGCTGAGCTAACAGGCTCGGTAGGACTGCTAGCGGTAGCAGGAGCGCTCGGAACGCTAGAAGGAGCCGGCGCGGTTTCACTCGCCTTTAAACTCGCAGTTTTGGTCTCAGCGGAGCTGTGGCTCTGAGTCTGCGGATTGATGTCCTTTGCGGGCGTCACTTGCGCAGTGCGCGCAGAAGTCTCAGCAGTCGCGCTGGCGCTCGATGTGTCGGGCTGCGCTTCGGCGGCTATGCTGCTAGCCGTTCTCTTCGTGGAGGCTTCGTGGTGACTGCTGGCGCTGTGCTCGGGCGGATTGCTCGCAGTAGTCGCTGCGGCTGCCGCGACTCGAGTTGTTTCATGAGCACGCGAGCTTTCGCTGACAGCCTTGACGGTGCTGCTGTAGCTCGAGGAATTCGCTGCTTGCTGTGCGGCAGCAGTTGGCTGCGGCGGCGCAGACTTGCGCACATCGACGTCAATGTTGCGGCGTGCGTCAGCGTTCAAAATCTCCTCAATAATTGTGTTTGGGTTGACGCGCGCGCTGCTCGAGGCAGCCGAGCCGTTTGCAGTCGCAGAGGCAATACGGCCGGTACTCGAGGTAGCCAAGCTGCTTCCAGACGTAGAGGCTGGGCGTTCCGTGCTCGACACGCTCGAGCTGCTTTCAGAATTAGTGGCTGCGTGGTCGGTGGTTGTGGCGGGCGAGCTGCGCTTCGGCGATGTGTGGGTTTGGTTGGAACCAGCGCGTGCACTTTGCGTCGAGCGCGTCCCGTCGTCCGTGCCGAACAAAACCGCGTCAATGTTGCGAAGCGTGGAAGGACTGTCGAGCTTTGTGTAGTGAAGACCTACGCGTTGGGTACTGGCGATGGAGGCGGTCGGCTCTGACTGGTTGGTCGACGAGGACGAGGAAGTGAGCAGCGACTCGGCACCCGAGGTGAAGTCTGCGCTCTGAGGCTCTGTGCTGGTCGCACCAGCCTGGATCTGCGGAACCGAGCCGATGTACTTCTGTTGCGCCTCGTCGTACCACCTGCGCACGAATCCCAGCGTCATTTCCTCGGCCTTCTCGACGTTGTCCGCAAGCGCGGAGACCAAGTAGACAATTGCGAGGCTGACTTCTTCGGCCTCGTCAATAATTTCGCGCTTAATCTCTGCAGCGCGACGCTCGATCTCCTCGACGATCTCGGTTGTGCGGCGGTCGAGAGTCTCCTTCAGTTTTTCGACCGAGTAGAGAATCAGCTCGCGCGAGCGCGCAACCAGCGGTGACTCGGAGTCTTCCGGCTTCAGCTCGGCCGGTGGCGTCGTCTTGCCGCGGCAACCGTCAGGCTTAAAGAGACACGGCAGCAGCTCCGGGTCTATTGAGTAGTTGGCTGGGCTCGCGTTGTCTTTCAGCAGTCCCACCATGTTGCCGAGATGGTCGAGAGGCGCTTTCGGTTCCGCTGGAGCGGCGGCTGCGAGTGCGGCTAGCGCGATGAACGATAGGTGTTTTCTCATTGTTGGGTGAAAAGGTGCAGCATGGCTAAAACACGTGTAAGCGGCCGAGCCGCAACGTGCGCCGTGTGTTGTGCCCCTGGACACTATTCGCGAAAGATCGCACCCTTGATACTGGAGAAAAAGTTCTTGATTGAGTGGACGAGACCGGAACCGTTCGACGCGGTGCTCGCAGCCTCGGTGCTGTGGGCCGGCGGCGGGCTGAATTTGCTTACTTTTTGTTGCTCGTTGCTGACGCGGATGATCTTGACGCCGCTGACGGCAGGGTGAGTCGCAGGGCGCGGACCGATTGACACGCGCGGCGTGGAATTCGCGCCCGGTGCAGTGCTCGGCTCAGTTTCGCGCTGAGTAGTCTCTCTCTCGCTCTGTGTAGTCTCTTTCTCGTGCTGCGTCGTCTCGCTGCGCTCCGAGAAGTCCTCCGTGGTACTGTTACGCGCTTCTTGCGGTGTACTCTGTTGACGACGTTGCGATGACTCCTCGATACGCTGCGCGTTGCGCTCGTACTGGTGCCAACCTTCGCCCGACTTGTGCACTGCACTAGATGCGTCGCGCGTGCGGCCTTCCTGTGAGTCGTCGCTCACGTAGTACTCGGTGCTAAACTCCTCGTGGCTCTCGCGATCGTTGGTCTCGGCCAACTGGCGCTGCACTCTTGGCGCAGCCGCGTAGTCTGGCGTCTCGTTTACAACGTCGCCGTGGAATTGGACTGGATGGTCGCTTTGCGCGAGCGGGCTCGGTTGGTCAGCGGGCATGTCTGCGAGCAGCTGCGACTTCACCTGGCTTGAGAACACGGTCGACTGTGCGCCGTTTGACTCGTCGCGCACCTCCGTCGACTGTGTGGCTTCGGTGGAGCTTTCGCTGCCTTGAGGCGTAGTGCTTTGCGTGAAGCCTTCGTGACCCTGAGGCGCGTCGCTCTGCGTGGAATCTTGCTGCGTCGTGGTTTCCTGCTCGGAGCGTGTCGCGCCGGCAGCGGCCTGCGACGCGGTGGTGTCATTGTTTTCGGACCCTCTCGCTGCAGACATTGCCAGGGGGGTCGTTGTGGACTCTTCTGAGTTGTCGGGTTTGTAGGACACAGGGTAGAACTCGCCGAATTTTCGGTTGCTAAGCTGCGGCCGCACCACTGGCGCTGAGACACGGTAGTCACGCGGCGGCTGATAATTAATGTTGCCCATCGCGTCCTTCAAGTAGCTGGTCGGCCGTGCGCCCGGAATATCGTAGTGCACGGGTTCGCTGACAGTCTCAGGCACGAAGACACTGTGCACCGGTGTGAACGTCGGGGAGCTTTCGGGGTACGCAAGACGGAATGTATAGCGAGGCACAGCGCGCATGCTTCGCGTCTCCTCGGTCCACTCCTCGCTCTTCTCAGAGTGATAGAAACCTTCCTCAAAGGAGTCTTTCTTCTTCTGCATCTTGTTGCTCTCTTCGCCCCTCGTGGTGTTTTCCGCGGAGTTGGTGGTGTTTTCCGCGGAGTTGGAGGTGTTGTCCGCGGAGCTGGTGGTGTTGTCCGCGGAGCTGGTGGTGTTGTCCGCGGAGTTGGTGGTGTTTTCCGCGGAGTTGGTGGTGTTGTCCGCGGCGGTGGTGGTGTTTTCCGCGGCGGTGGTCTCGTCGTTCTGCGCGTGCGAGGTTCCAGAGGACTGCTCATTGCGCGTAGTTTCCGATTGCGAAGACGCGTCGCGCTCTGCGCTAGACTTGGTAGCAGCAGCTCCTTCAGTTGTCGCGGCTGCAGTTTCTGAAGCGCGCTCCTGAGAGCTGAGTGCGCTTCGGCTCACGGTGCTGTCCGCCTTTCGCGTAGTGAAGTTCTCCATGGGGCTCGGCCTGAACACGCGGTCGCCGCCGAACTGGTTCGTAACGGAGTACTCCAGTTCGTTCTTCTGCTGCGAGGTTTTCGGCAAGAATTGTTCGTTCGCAACGGCTGCGTTCAGCTGTGTCATTGACGAGGCCACTTTCTGCGCCTCGGGCGCCGCAGAGCGGTGAGGCTCGGAGTCTACACGAACAAGCGTTGCCTTCGCGGGCGAGACTTGCTGCTCGAAGTAGTTGCTCTGAGCAGCAGCGAAACTCGGCTGCGGGCTGACAAGCTGAGCCGAGTTGCTGGCGCTGTGCAGCGCAGTGTAAGTCGGCGACATAACGTCCGTGCGCTCTGTGCGCACTGACTGCGAAGCGTTAACGGCGTGAACGCTGTTCACCGCACTCTGCGGTGGCTGGTGAACCAGCACGTAGGGCGGCTGCGCAGCGTGCGACAACTTAGACGCGCGTGAATGCGTGAATTGCGGCGCGCTGTAGGCATGCTCGCTGTACGTGCGCGGGACCTCAATTGCGTAGTCTGCGCTGGGTTGCGCGTGTTTAATATAGTGGCGGTCGCCCGGAGCAGGCGCACGCAGGGGAGGGAGCGTGCTTTGGGTGATGACTTCGTAGCTCTGAGCGGGAGCAACGTAGTACTCGTCGATAACCTCCCCGTTGATCCCATTGGGGTAGATCCCGTTAGCTAGCGTCAGCGAAAAGCCAATGAGGTTGTAGCTTGTCAGTCTCATGTTATGTGTTGTGTTAGAGAAGGTGCAACGCTCCTTAAATCTCTAGAGACATGTCAACACGTACGAACGCGTCGAGTAGCGCCTGCGCACGTGGCCGGGCGCGCGGATCGGCGTTGTTAATCAGCTACGCACTCGACCGCGCTCTCTCCCAATAAATTTGCAGATTAATGGAAAATCAGCGGGGTGCCACCGAAGTGGTTGAACTAGTCCGTAGATGAATTTTAAGGCACTGGCTGCCGCTGCGGGCATGCTGCGCGCAGCACCGATCCAGCTCGTCAAGCGAGCTGCGCACGGTTTCTCAGTGACGCGCGAGGGGCAAGAGTTTCTGCGCAGCGTCCGGCCTCCGGTGGCAGTCGTCACGAGCGTAGGCTCGATTCACAGCGGCAAAAGCTTTCTGATGAACCAACTGGCGAACTCCATCGTTGAGCTCAGTGCAAACTCCGACGAAGCGCAGCTTGCGCTTCCGCGGGAAGACGAGTTTTCCGTCGGCTCCGGCACCGAAGCGGAGACAGAGGGCATTTGGACGCTCCCGCGAGTGCTCCGTCGCGGGAACATTAGCTTGCTGCTGCTCGACACTGAGGGCTTGTTCAGCCGCATCGGTTCCGAGATGAACGACGCGAAGGTTTTCTCGATCGCGGCGCTGATGTCTTCCGAATTCATCTACAACACGGTCAAGTTCATCGACAGCAAGCAGATAGAGGCGCTCGAAACGCTTATGCGCCGAGCAAGCCTCTTCGGCTTGCGCTCCTATTCGCGTCGCAACGCGCACAGCGAAGGTCGCAAAATCGAGAACCTGGCGAATTTCATCAACATGCTCACGCCGTCGCACCTCTCGTGGATCATTCGAGACTTCGTCCAGGACCTGCACGAGAAGACGCCGCAGGAGTGGTTGGCAGAACATCTGAATTTTTCAATCGAGCTACAGCGCGGCGCGGAGGACGTCGAAGCGGCAGAAACCGCGAACGTCGATAGGTTCTTCAAGTTCATAGACTGCGTGACGCTCCCGATCCCCGCGCAGAGCACTGAACTGCTACAGGACTTGTCGCTCGCGCCGCGCGGGAGCTTGACGCGCGAGTTTCGCGATGCGCTTGCGAACTACCGCGACCGGCTTCTCGAGCGCGCCGAGAACAACCCGAAAGTCAAGGGGCCTAGCGTCAACGGCCGCAAAATGCTTATGAACGGTGAAGACCTTGCAAATCTTCTCGAGTTTTTGGTGTTTTCCGCCAACGCGAGTGATGCCGAAACGGCCAGCGACCACAGCCGCCTGTTTCCAGAACTGCCGAACATGGCGCAGCAATTCACCGAGTTGCAACTGCGACTCGTACAATCCGACATTCTCGCAATTGCCGAGCGCGACGTGTTCGAAGCGGTGAGCCGACGCTTCGCAGACGGAAAAGCGATGAGTTTGGAAGAGTTCCGGATGCTTGTAGCGGAAGTCGCCGAACAGGCGAGCACGCTGCGCAGTGCGTCGATTAAAGGCCTCGCTGCGCAGGAGGATGTAGCCGCGCTGCTGAAGTCTGCCGAGGCCGAGTTCGATAAGGCGCTCGCGCAGACCGTTGCTGCGTTCGAGGGCAGGTTCTGTGCAGCGCTACGCGACTGGTGCGCCGAGCAGCAGCAAAACGTGCTTTACGAGTTCGAAGCACGCATGAACTTCAAACCAAAGTCGTTCGTTTTGCCCGAAACACTGCGGCAGCGGGCTGAAGCTCTGTACGAGTCGCTCACTGCAAGTTTGATGAACAAGTTCAGCGGACAAATTCTCTCGGACTGCTGCAGCGTCACGCGCGAATCTGTGTTGCGAAAGTTGCAGCAGAAGGGTTCAGACATTTACGAGCGCAACCTCGCTGACGTGCGTCAGTATTTGAGCGAGAAAATGCAAGAGTTGCTCAAATCGCACGCCAACGATCTCGAAATGTTTAACATTTCCAACTCGCTGCTTCCGTACCGCGACGTTGTCACGGCGTGTAGCGAGAAGAAAACTCACTTTCTGCAGTTGTTCAACGAGGAGACAATCAGCTTCTCACAGTTCCACCTGCGCAACAAGATTTTCGAGGACCTCGGCCACGCGCTCGAACAGCAATCACAGGAGGCTATCGCGTTTTGGGAAACGCGCTGCGTCGACGGCGCGAAGATCTTTGTGAAGAAACTGCAGAACCTGTGCAAGAGCTCTTTGACGAAGCAAATTGCGCTGCCGTCGGACGAGGAGACGCTTGAAAGCGAGCTGCAGAACTACGTGCGCGCGCGTGTGGAAGAGTTCAAGCAGAAGTTTGCGTGCTACGACAGCCCGAACGGCGTGTTCAAGCTGCAGGAACTCGAGTACGAACTGTCCGTTTGCGCCGAGTGGATGGTTAACCGCAACATTGATGCGGTGTCGAATTTGTACTCGCACGTTCTGGACCGGCTGGCGATTGAGCTGAAAGAAGAAGCAGTCAATTTCTATTTCGTGTCCAGTTTCATGCAGTATGCGCGCGATCGCGCTACGCAGGCGCTTCGCGAAGACTTGCAGCACGATGATTCGCTGGAGAACGAAGAGCTGCGCTTGATCAAGCGCGAGAAGTTGCTAAACGGCGTCGTTGCGAAGTTTCTAGCTGAGCTCGACGACGCAACCGGGCTAATCAACAGCTTGTTGCTGATGCGGCTCATTAGTCTCACGCACGTTGCCGTCACGATTCACCGCTTGTACCGGCACACTTTTGTGCGCTTTTCGCTCCTTGCGATCTTGTTCTACCTGCTCACGCTCGCGCCCGCGGTGTTGTGCTTGGTGAACCGCGACCTGCAACTCTCGATTAGCGCGTTCTTTTTGTTCCGCTTCTGGCTGCACAACCTCAAGTTTTACGTGCTGCTGGCGCTCGCGGTGCTGGTCGGCACTGTCGCGTCGCTGTTGTCAGACTCCGTATTCACCTGGTGCTTTCCCGCAACTGCGAAGAAGATTCACTACGCGTTTGACGACGGCGTGTACAAACCAAGCGAGTTTCGCCACTCTTACATGCCCACCGAGTTCGGCGCGCGCTCTATCGACCGCGAGAAGGACGAACCAATTTCACGCTTCGGCGGGAAAACTTGATTTGAACGGTGAGAGTGCAAGCCGGCCGTAACCTGCAGCGCGAAGCTTAGCTTTCGCCTTGCGCACACATGACCTCGCTCTATGTGTGATAATTTTTACATCACTCATTTTCGTTCGTAACTTCGTCTCAACAGCGCAGCAACAGGTGCTTCACTTGTCAAGAACAGATGAGTAAATCCTGTAAGCATCGCGCGAGCGGGGTTGTCGCTCGCAAAAAGAAGCCTAGCGCTTTGTTTTCTCAGCCGAATAAGGAGTCGGCGCGGTGCTCAACCCGCTGCTTATGCACTAGCGCGAACCGTTTGGCGTGGCCTGCGCTGCAGCTGACCAATGCTTTCCTTAAACAGTCGGAAGACGAATTTCTGCCGATCTATCGCGTACTCGAGAAGGAACTGGTCTGCATAGGACTTATTAGCGCGATGAATCGCAGTCTCAGCGCGAGTCGATCTGGCAATGGAATGCAGAATGCAGCTCCGGCTGCGGCTAGCTGCTGTCCGCTAAGCGGACTGGTGCCTGAAGCGGCGCTAGATGTTAGCTCGGTCGTGGGAGTGCTTTGCAGCGGCAAGGCAGATCCAGCAGACTTAGGTTCGTTTTGCGACGCCTTGTTCACGACGGAAACAACTTCCATTCGCAGCTGCACCACTGATATTCGAAACGCGTCAGACCGAGCGCACGTCGTCCTGAAGCAGTTTGCTACTTCTATCCAATTTCAGCAAATGGCGAATTTCCTTGACGAACTGGCGGATGCAGTAGCAGAGGCTTTAGAAAAGAGAGTGCGTAATAACGATCCGCCGCACTCATCTAGTTGTTGGAGCTATTTCGAACAAGCTTGCAGAAAGATTACGGCGAGCTCGCGCAGAGGAGTCACTAAACGCAAATTGGCTAATGCCGCACAGCATAGTAGCATTGACCACCATTGTTACTTCAAAAGTGAGCATTTTCAACTCGTAAGGCGAACGTTTCTACCCGAGTTGAAGCGAAAACTTCAGTTTGCTTCCGGCGCGATTTGTTCCCATTCTGTAGTCGTAGCGGAACTGTGGTTTCTGCGATCCGTTGTACGGTTGTCGGCAGCAGAACATTTATGCAAATCTCGCTGCATAAGATCTCTAGGTTCGTCTCGCGGTTTCTTCAGCCGAATACTCACTGCCGAATTTGCACCGGCCTTGCAATGCTCGGGCTGCACTGTAAGTCCAGAATGCGGACAGTTATGCTGCTACATCCGAAATCTCATCACAGTTTTCGAGCTCGCGGATCTGGATCGGGCCTCGTCAACCGAAGTGCTCACGGGGCAGTATGAGCCTTACGCAGTTCGCTGTGAGGAAGCGTTCAGCAATACCGCTCAAAGCGCAGAAACGCAAATTCTGTCGAGAGCGCTTGGCTGCGCGATCGGGAAGCTGTGCGTTAATGCCAAAGCTGATTTTAAACTCATGCTTTGCGCAGCCTTGCGAAGTGCCGATCTCGTAGCCTCGCAAGAGAGTGCCCCGAACCGCAACAAACTGGCGCTGAACTTTTTGAATCTCCTCATCGCGTTCGAAACGCGTTTGACGTCAGCTGCAACATTAAGATGTGACACAGCTAGTGCAGAAACGAGCTGCAATAACAACCTTACTGATAACGCGTCGCTTCCGAGGAAGCTCAACCCGGCAGTAGCTGCAGCGACTGAAAAGGCTTTTATTGCAAACGAGACGCGTATCACGAGAACTGAGTATTTGCTGCTCTGCTTGGCGCAGATAATATTGGCCGGTTTGCGCTGTGCTGGCAGTTCCGCCACTGAGGAGGAACTCAGAAAGCTTCTGAACTCTTTTCCTCCGGCTTTCAAACTAGATTTGCTACGTGCAGTGACTTTTGCCTTTGCAATTGGGGACGCAAAACGCCTCGGTTGTGCTCGCTTGGCAAGGAACCTGCGCCCTTTTCTTTCGCAGTGTTTATGCGAAGCAGCGGACACCCAGCGGGCTGAGATTTGGCACTACATCTGCTTGATCTACACAGAATGGCCTGACATATTCATGGACTTTATGAGAACGCATTGCGATCAGATGGAAAAGGTGACACACTTCGATCAAGCCGGCGAGCGCAGTACTGATGAGGCTTCATGTTGTTCGTGCGCAAGTGTAGTACCGTTAGCGAGCCAGCTGGCTGCATTATGCAAGTTGGATTGTATTTCGTTCTTAGGCTCGACAGAGCATCCCACCTGCGTTCTTCCGGCGGCGGAGTGCGACATGCAGACGGTGATGTTTGGAGCAAACACGAAGTCTGAATTTTCGACTGAAAGTGCCGATAGCAATTTTGAAGCGCAATCTCGGGGTGAAGATTTGACGTCCGAAGCTAATTTATCGCTTTCGAAAGCCTCGACCCGGTTTGTTGGCGAGAACGAGCTGCAAAGTGCGCAAAGTAATACGAAAGTTGCGTGCTTTGCAGCGGTGAATCCAATGAAGGAAACAGCGGCATCCTTTCAAGATAATGGTGAGACTTTTGGCAGCAGCAACGCGTTGCCTGAAGTGATGGAAGCCGACGCCAATGACACTGTGGCTGCTAGCGATCTCATTGACTGCTCAGGCTGTTTTTTGAAAGACAAGCTTGTAAATAACTCATGCAGTTCAACGATAAACAATAGTTTAGAGGTTTCTGCCGACGAGCAATCGGATGCCGATCTGCAACAAAATATAGAAGGTGTCAGGCAATGTCTGAAGCGCGACTGCGAAGCAAACTCGCACGGAATTGCTGAACTGGACACGGGGTTTGCCGAACTTGCCAATACTTTTAGTAGGAGCAATGCGCATAACTCCAATGCGTTTGCGACGTTTACCGCTGACACCCCTCTGAACTCTTC